TGAGCAACTTTTAGAAAATATCTCCGAGCAACTTTTAGAAAACGCAAAACCAACCTCAAGCAAAAAAACTCAGATCGTTCAGAAAAAAAAAACCCTCTCAACCCTTTCCCAGAGGGGGTATTTATAGCCGAAGGAATGAGAAGTGCCTATCAATGAGGCTTACACATTTGGGCGGGAAAAAATTAGTCAGAAAGGGTTACCGACAAAGCAACCGACAACGAAAGTCGATTAAGAACAGCGAGGGAAGGGATGACTGGAGAACCGGAAGGAACTCCTAGATTCGGTTAAGAGAAGCGAGGAGGAGGAAAAGGTCTGGTTAGGGCAAGAAAGGCTTCAGGAGGAGGAAGGGGAGGAACGCGGAGAAAAAATTTTAGGTTATATCTATTTATTATTTAAAAAAAACAAACTCTTTTTTTTCTTTTTTTTAATTATTATATATATTTAAAAAAATAAATTTTGTGCAAGCGCGCGACACCCAAACAAAAATATGTGTCATTCATAACTAAAATTGAAGTTTCCTAACTAAAATTGAAGTTCCGGACGCTACGACGCGGGTCGTTTCGTCATCCGAGATCATCCAAAAAAAATTGTCGATGATCGCGTCAAACTAACTTCGATTCGCGCGCGACACATTAAATGAAATTATTTTGACCCGATCGAAGCCGTTTAACGAGTAGGATGAAAATATTGATCGGTCCTTGCATAAGCAACAACCAAAGTTAAATATGACGCTTGCAGTGGCAAGTCAAATGTCGCTAAATGTCGCGCACGTCACGGGGTCTCATATGTCTTTCAAATTTCTATAGGAGTTCAATTTGAGCTTCAATATGTCGGTTTTTCGATCGACTCAATCGAATATTGAGGATCTAAAACCGTCCATATGAAACTGCAAGGAGCGAAGAAATGACTTGAATTTCTAAGTGGTGTGGGTCCCAGTTTAGTACTCTAAGAGAGTCAAAATAGAGAAATCTTAAGGTTGGATCCTATAATATCTAGAGAATGGAAGACCTCAAAATGAGGTCAACAATAGTGTCCAGGCTTTCTGCAAAAGTGACACTTAATTCCTTTATGTTCCTCTTTGTGAATTGGGGCAGACGATACATTAATCTTTAGTGGTCATTACTTTCCATTTCCATTCTTCTTTCCAGGTTTCTTTACAACTCTTCTTTGGTGACCCATGAGATTAATGGAGTGATTTGTTCCTTTCTTAAGCCTTGTTTCCTCTTGAATGAGCATACATCATTGTAGTTCATTCACATTTCACTTATCTTTCATAGTGTTGTAGTTCATGTGAAATGGGCCATACTCAGGAGACAAGGAGTTAATGATAAATTGCACAAATAACTTTTCATTCACATCCCTTCCCAAAGTCTTAAGTCTTGTTGTTATGTTCGTCATTTCAACGACATGCTCATGCATAGTACGAGAACCATCAAATTTCATATTGTTTAACGTACTCAATAGTGTCCCAGCAAGAGACTTATCAGCAGAGTCAGACTGAGAACAATTCTCAGTAAATTTCATAAATTTCTTAGCACTTTCAGTGTTAGAAAATGTACATTTTATGTTGTTTGCTACAGTCATTCACATAAACATTAATCTTAATATGTTTGATTTTTCCCAAGCTTTATAGAAAGATATTTGCTCAGTGCTGCTAGAATAAATAAGAGCAGGGGGGTTCTTAGTCATGAGTGTCAAATTAAGATCCATAACACCAAGGTGAAACTAGACTTGCTCACGTCATTCAGAAATATTAAGCCCATTGAAAGTTTGAACGATGTAGCTTGCGAATGAAGAGAAACAAGAGTAGTTACTACAAATAAATAAAACATGCTCGTACATTAATGCTTTGAACATTAACTTACATAAATACTTATATAAAATTAGATTAACATAATAATAATAATAATAATAATAATAATGTATTGAAATCTCCTTTGGGTGATATAACAATACAAAATAATAATCATAATTGATGCTTGACTTAAATTTAATATAATTTGTAATTATTTATACTCAGATTAGACATGTTTATTATCTTTGGATATATAAACATATCTTAACTAAGTATATAAATAAACAACAATTATATTCAAAAATTATAAAACAAATGATCAACCTTTGGGCGATCTAGAAATATTTTATAATCAATGAATTTTAATATTTTTGTAAAGAAATGTTAAATTATTTCATAACAAGCATCACTTACTTGTGAATAATTGAATTTATTTAATTTTACGTCTATTAAACTTATTAATTTGGTCACTTTGACGATTAACAAATTAAACATAACATAGACATCAAATAAATAATAATTTTAATCACATTAATTTACTTTAGTATTAGTGATATAATTAAAGATCTAATTCACAACAAAAATTTAATATAATTAACATAAATAAAATTATATGAAAAATCATAAATTTAGTAATTAAGACTCTGATACCACATGTTAGAAATTTATGTTTGAACTTTATGACACCAATTCTAAAAATACATAATAGTCAAGATCTTTTAAATTCATGATTTTTACATATCCACAATAAAGTAACACATATATGTATTCATGATGATAATATTTTATCTTGAAGAGATGGAGTTACTCCTCTCTCTAATCTCTTGAAACTTTTTGTACTTTCTGGTGGAGGGAAAGGTATAGGGTGTGTTAGGAAGAGAGATGACTTATTATCTAAATCATGCTCTATTTAACCATAATCCATCAAGGGGGTTACAAACCAATAGGATTTATGATAATTTAATAAATTAATTGAGTTATTTTTATTAAAATCAATGACGCCCCTATTCATTTTAGGGATTACATGAGTTATAAAATTAATATCATAAGTTATCATAAGTTATTAGTTAAGATAATTAATAACTTAAGTTATCATGAGTTACAAAAATAAATATCATAAGTTGTCATAAGTTATGATATAAGTTATGAGTTAAAAAAATAAATAACTTAAATTATCAAAATCTCATAACTTATTAAAATAAATGTGAGACATAAATAAAAATGTAACAGGTTAAAAAAAAATGTATTTTTATTATTTGGTAGTAAATGATTCCTCAATTAAAAAAAAAACACCAATAAATTGATTTCCATCATTCAAATCATCAATTATGAATTAGCTTTGGCCACTCAACCTATCCATTCATATCATAAAATAAAGGACTCATTAATTAATGATACTCTAGTATTTATATGACAGATATATGTATCCGAACTTTTCGTCCACACTTATTGCAAAGATACTCTTGACCATCCATCCACCTACAAGGTATTTTAATTTTCATTTTCTTAGGCTATTTATTAGGAGCAAAATAAATGTTTATAAAATGTACACCTTAATAATAATTTATATTAAATTGCAGCATTTACATTAATATGATTGATAAAAAATAAATATTTAATTATTTTCCAGTTTAATTTAAAGATATGTCAATATAATTCTATCTAATTCAGTTATAAATTCTAATAATTTGCCGAAAATCTGTTAGTTGCAATGATTTAAGTTGTCTTATTATAACAGACAAATTCAAGTGTCGCTTTGGCCGAGTGGTTAAGGCGTGTGCCTGCTAAGTACATGGGGTTTCCCCGCGAGAGTTCGAATCTCTCAGGCGACGTAGTGCTTTTAATGTGGAAGATTTACATAATCATCACTCATTTTTAATGTTTTTACATATGGGAATACATAAATTTTGATTGTCTTATCCACACATAAAACATTAAATCTTTATAATTGCATTTTTATGTGATATAAAGATACAATATAGACGCTAAGTTGGTGAGAAATTTTTCAGGTATTAAATGCTGTAAAATAATTATTCAGGATTTTAGTACCGCTTGGGGATTACAAAATTTAAACTGAAAATTTTATTTGCATTGAAATAAATTAAATGTAAAATGAACGATCAGTTGTGGGCCCCCCCCCCCACTGCCGCTAACTCAGGTCAACAACACGGGCTAACTAGTTGTTGTCTCCGATTAACTTCAATTAAAGCTGGACGCTCACTCTCAGCCATCGTCGGTCACCACCTTCGTTGGTCACCACATGTTCCTTACAACGAAATACCACGTCAAGCAATCAACAATACTGCAGAATCACGTTGTAACTTATAAAGAGATGCATCGTCCCAACACAATATCCCGACCGTCATGTCGACCCTCAGGATGATATATTGAAGTTTGAACAGTCTTTTCTCACCGATAAAAAAGGTTATATATATATAATCATTAATGCATAATAAAATATTTCAAATATATAAATTCTCATGATTTTTATTTTCAGATCTTTTACATATATAATTTTTATACCCAATTAATTATTTTATTTCGTGTGTTAAATTCTTAATAAAATAAGATAACTTTTTTATCACTCTTACGGCCGTAAAATATTTAGCACGCATGAAATTGGCTATATATATATATATATATATATAAAGGCTTATTATTAAGGGTCACGCCCAACTATATAATAAATAAAATATCATACATAATTAAAATAAAAAGTAATAATTTATATATAAATACCTCAAAATAAAAGTAAGCCCAGAAAATCCACAAGGATGGTGTCATTGCCACGTGTAACCCGTGCTGAGTTCACGTTTTGTAATTAAGTTGTATATTGTTGTAATCTCTATTTAATTTCATCAATAAAAAGTTACATTTCTCTTATTGTTTATTAGATTTAATTGGATGTCAATCATGTTTTTTCTTGAGCATTTACATGCAAAACACTCATTTCTTATTTATTTACAAATTTACCACATAAAAAATTATTTTTACATTTATATCATCTTACTTTTTGACATCACATCAAAACATCATTATCTTATCTTTTTAAAAAGTAAAATAAATTGTTTAAATATAAATATTAATATATAAACAAATAGAAATGAATGTAATTAAGCCCCCAAACGAATATATCTTTTGGATAAGCACAAGCCGTATCACTGCCACGTGTAGCCGGTTGCGTATTAGTACTTCTCCCTCCCCGAGCCGGCAATCGCCATTATCCGAAGCTTTTCTGATCGAAAGCGAAGAGCAAGAGAATTCAGAGCATTAAAAATTCAATTTTTGGGATATTGTCCCCTAATCCCTCTCTTTATAGCTTCGATTTTTAACGAATTCAACCATTGCGGGAAGTTTTCTGATCCCCAAGGGGTAGATCGATGGCTGTTTTTGCTGGGATGTTTTCTCGCTCTTCATCTTCATCGTCCTCGATCGCGGCGTTGAGGAGGAATGGCGTGAAGGTGGGGAAGAGAAGGAATGGAGGATTAGCGTGCCGAGCAGCTGCACATGGAATCGGTAATTTGATGGATCAGTACAGGACGCTCCGGATCCAGCCGGGAGCTTCCGAGAAGGAGGTCAAAAAGGCATTTCGCCAGCTCGCTCTTCAGGTTAGGGTTTCTCTTGCTGTCGGTGCGTTGGTTGATTTGGGGAAATCTTGGGTTATTAGGGCTTGAGAGGCATACTCAACTGGAATTGGCTCGGATTAGGGTTTTTATTGTAGAGTGGGGAAATTTGTCGAATGAGAATCTTAATGGCTATTTTTAACTGAATTTGCAGTATCATCCAGATGTCTGCAAAGGAAATAACTGTGGTGTTCAGTTTCATCACATTAATGAAGCTTATGATGTAAGTATTTATCAACAAAAATCTCTCTGTTTTTTTTTTTTTTTTTTTTTTTGGGTTACAGCTACAATCATCATAATCGAACCTTAGATATGGTTCAGGAAAGAGATGATTTTTATATATGTTTACTGTTAATCTGATTGAGGACTTGGTTGCAGATTGTAATGAGCAGCCTGAGAGCTTCAGAAGAGCGGATCCAGCAAGAGGAATGGAGGTTTCGGGGATGGCCTGAGGAGGAAGAAGAGGAAGGTGATGAGCTGAGAGGAATGTGTGATCCAAACTGGGAGCTTTGGGAGGAATGGATGGGTTGGGAAGGTGCTGGTATAAGAGATTACTCTTCACACATCAATCCTTACATCTAATCCTTAGGGTTCTCTATTAATTTTAAAATTGTTGAATTTAATTTGAGATGAGTGTGATAAATATTTTAATTGATCATATTTGCAGTCTACTCTTCTTAAAATAAATTTGATGATTTTAAGATGATTCTGTAAGATTCTATTCAGGCTATCTGGCTTTGATGGCAAGCTCAAGCTTCTGTAAATGTAATAATGGAGATTGTTTGTATGGTGAAATGTATATAAGAATAAATTTTTTGCTGATTTCTCCTATTTTGGAGGAAATGATCAGTATTTATGTTTGTACCTTTGCTGCAATTTTATTGTTGGATTGAGTTTGTTGAAGGTATGTGTTTGGTTTGGAGTTGAAAGATTTGGAGAAGATGGAAATATAAGAAAGTAATAAAAATTAATTTGTTGATAAATCCTATTAAAGGGTGCTATCAAAACACCTCTTTAATGTATATGTATTTATAACTATAACATTTAAATTTTATTTCTTACATATGTTGATACCGGAGTTGGCCCATATCGCAATCGAAATTAAAGTATTATTGTTGAAATTCAAATAAGTTATGATCATGGCTCTCCAAAAGAGGAAATAAATGATAACAAGCATAAGAAGACACCATAGATGGAGATGATGGTGGTGGATTGTGGTTGGATGATAGGTTGGGGTCAGATTAGGAGATTGTTGTTAATGCGGGAGCTAGAGGCTGCAACTTGGAAGCAGGGGAAGGAGGAAGGCAGGTAGGGAGTCACAACAGTGAGGGGAGTCGTTGGTAGAGGGAGTTTATGGTCGTGAGGTTTGTCGACTGCAATATGCCAGCAATTGGAAGGATGTTTGAGTTGCTGGGGGAGGGTAGCAGCGAGCAGGAGAGGGAAATAATGAATACTACACACTAACTCATGAGTCATGACGAGTTGAAATAACTTTTTGTCGATGGGTAGTTGGGTACAATCCTAAAAGAGAAAATGGGGATGCCAGAGATTGTCCAAGCAGAAATCTTCACGCAAAAAATTGAATCCTAATGATACTAATATAACATAAATATAGTAGATAATTATGAGGGGGACGCTCCTCCTCTTGAGCGGTAGCCCTACTCAAATCATATGAGATGACCGACCCTCATTTCCCTTGGCTGGTTTGGTTAGGTACAACCGGCTCAACCCTCCCCCTAAGGGAGTCGCACGCCATACATGTCACTTATTCTATTCTTGAAAAAATGAAAAAGTGTGTTCAACATTTTAAAAGTTAAATAATGATATTTTATATTTTATATGAATGATTTGGGGGACATAAATGCAAAATAATAATAATAAAATGACATTATATTTGTAAATATATAGGAATTGAGTGGAATGTATGAATATGCCCTAAACATGTAATTATGATGGCTATGTTAAAGAGATAAATTTTTTTCTTAGTTATTTATGAAATTTTTGGAGGAATGGCTTCATTGTGATTGTTGCCAACAAATATGCTTCTCTGTAATTGGATAAATATGCTCCTATTTTTTTAATTTGGGTTGAAGAAGATTCAACCCATTTATTTGAATTTTGAAATGTAAGTTTAGAATTGTGTTCATTCAAACTTTATTTAGTTTTGATGTTATGTATAAACTCTATTTGAACTATTTTCAAATCTGATTTCAATTTTATGCAAAGAATGTCGAAATCCTATTCAAATTATGATCAATCATATTCCAACCATTTTTGAAACAAGTTTGAATTGTATTCAAATCATACTTGAAACCCTGTAACAAATTATTATGACATATATATGTTGAATCCTGATCTGTCTTTTGAAGTATGCCTAATGATCAGAGCATTATGAACCGTGTGAGAGCGGTAGGGAGACAGAGAGTGGGAGAGAAGGAGAGAGCACACAACATATTGAACCTCTGGGGCAAATTGGGTCGAGAGAGAGGGCAAAGAGTTATCCCTATAAAGAATGGGTCTAGAGAGAAGAGCCAATAATCTTTAATACATGATACAATCCTCTAATTTATTGAAAATGGAAGGACAAATGCATAAAATTATATGTTTTACCCATTCTTTCGAGGGGTTTTACAAGGTATTATTGCCTTTTTGCTTGCATAAACCTTATACTTGATAGGTCCTTGGATCGACAGTAGTTTTGGCTTGCTTTCGTCTTGGTAATAATAATTTTTTCTCTGGGAAACAGGTACATTTTGAGTAGGGTTGTCAAAAAAATTCATTGTTTGCGAACAACTCGTGTACGGCTCGTTTATTAATTAAATGAGTTGAACACAAATAATTTTTTTTACAACTCTTTGTTTACTTGTGTTTGGCTCGTTTTAGCTCGAAAAAGAAAACCATATAGTTATTCATATAATAATATATTATATATATTATTTATATTTATATGTAATTTTAAATCATAACTACTCTTTTGGTAATATGGTTACGTGTTTTATTTTGCATACATTTGGTACAAGTTCGAATTCAACACTTTACATATATTTTTTTCAATTAATTTTAACGAGTCAATTTCGAGCCGAGCACAAACAAGAATATTCAAATCGAGCAAAACATAAACACACTGTTCACGAGCAAATTTCGAACAAGTCAAGCACGAGCCAAGCCTGAGCTCACTCATGGTCAACTCGTTTAAATCCCTAACTTTTAGTGTGGTAGCTAGTTGGCTTGGGGCAGCCAATTGACTTGCTTGATTATTATTCATTTGTGATCTCTGAAGATCTTTGAGGGTACTTGTGAGATTGTTAGGAGTGTTAGGCTTTTGGTTCTCTAATTAGCCTGGGTGGCATTTTGGTCGTATGACCTTCGGTTGATTGAGAAGTCATCGGTCGGCTGGTTGTTTTCAATCAGTTAGATAAACGAGGACTTGTAGCTTTTTATTTGAGGAGATTCTCGTCATTTATATTTTGATCTGAACTGTTAGATTGTCATGAGATTCATGCAAATCGTTTTTGGGTGTAAAATATAACATATGAACTCAGAGAATGATATCACTAACCATATGAGAAGACTGAATACATATAGATACATACACACACACAATATAATTCACATGTACTTGTATTTTTAACATCGAATCTTTAACATTTATTTATATAAGATTCAAAATTTTAATGTCACAGAAAGAAATATTAATTTTTTTCTTAGAACTAAATCTTTATTTTAATACATATAGTTTATTTTGATATGATAATATCGCTATAATTGTTTATAAATAAATATTAAAATTTAGGGACATTTTAGCATTTAAAAATATTTCACTCAATTCCTGTGTATTTATATATCCAACAGCTGAAATTTACTTTCTACACGTATAACCACAAAATCTCTCATATCATATAAACAAATTATTATTATGTGTATTTTTGAAAAATGAAAAATATATTTTTATATATTTGTAAATTGTAAGGTCCTATTTATATAAAAATTAAAGTTTAGAGTGAGATATGTAAATAATTCTAAATTATACATTGTAAAGTTACTAAAGTATCGGTTATTTGAGCTCCGAATCCTCCTCCATTGTCTCCCCTTTTCCTGCATCTATTTCTATCTAATGGCGTCTTTGAGCGCTCTATCTGGCCAGGTTTCGAACATACATGACGCAAGAAGTCGACGAAACCCTAGCCTCCATGAATCTTCTCAGCACTGTGAGACCTCTTTATGCTTGCTCACCGCGTCTGCCATGTCTTGATTGTTAGGGTTTCCGATAGAAAGTTTGCCAGATTGTTGGTTCTGATTTTTTGGTTAGATTTTAATGCACTTGAACGCCTGAATTGTAGGGTGGTGTTGTGATTATGGAAAATTGGAAATGTCGGCATGGTGCCTTTTCTTGCTTTTTAATGTTTACGGAGATTTCTTGAAGTTTTCGGTTTGACTCTCTTGGTACTGCAAGAATGTGTGTTATTGTTTTTTTTGGTTCTTGTTGTTTGTTCTAATTTTGAGTTCTGAAGCATTGCTGCCTCATCAGCAGATTGTAGTTTTTTTGGTTCTTGTTGTTTGTTCTAATTTTGATTTCTGAAGCATTGCTGCCTCATCAGCAGATTGTAGTTCTTGAGGGAAGATAATTAGACGATTTTATTCCTTGAGCCAATGTGCATATCTGTAGGCATATATGTTGATAATTATATGAAGAGAATAAAGGAGTTTATAAATGTAATAAAGTGTGATCAGCATAAATCTTCCCAATTTAGATCGTCTTCTTTTATAATGATTTTCATGCCACACTAGATTATTAGCGATATATGCGTGCATGATTGCTATAATTCATAACCATAGACTCAATTATTGGAAATGCAAATCCTTCCAAATAAATCCAGACTCACATCACTTCGAATGTAAACCAAGCCATAACTTTATATTTTGAGTATACACTAAATTTGATTATAATTATTTGCTTCATACTCATCCAGTCAACCAGATTTTCTCATGTAGAAATACAATAGCCAAAAACTGACTTTCTGTTATCAATAGGTCCAACATAGCCAGCTTCAAGTAGTGTTTTAATGTTTGAATGCCTAGTCTAAGCATACATCAACCATTTTTTAGGAGACTTCTTGATGTCACTGAGAATGTAAAGAAAAAAATACCAATACTTTTATCTTGGATATTGCCTATATTGAGGTGTAACTTGAACACAAAGTTTTATTAGCTCATGTAATTGTTAGATAAATCAATTTTCCAGCTAATACTTGAAACTTTGATTGCTAATCATAGGATATACATCTTTGGTAACAAAACAATTAGTTCAAGCACTACTTGATATTTTAGATGCGTCTTCTTTATTATTTTCAGTGAATAATGTATCATATATATGAAGCTAGCATAATTGAGTTTATTGTAGAATAATATGAAGTACCGTTCTGATGATTAGCTTTTGTAATAGCCGCACATAATATGTCAAACCAATATTTTGGCCTCTGCCCGAGCCTATAAATGATCTTTGTAATTACGTACGTGTGCTTCTTCCTCAAAGAAATGTACTCAAGATATTACTCTATGTATATATCATTACTCAGGCATTAACGGAAGATATTGCTAACATCCGATCACAACATAGGCCAACCTTTATTGATGGCCACTTGCATTTCAATTCTTGGAGATGAAGTTTCAAAACAATTTTTTCCCTTAAACTTGAGTAGATTATATGGCTAACTGGCAAGCTTTATACCAATTAATAGAGCCAATAGGATGAAACTTAAGGGTACAATTTGACATTAGGTGGAGGGATAACTAATGAACATGTTCTTTGATTATGAAGATAATTTAATTGGTTCTTTTATGGAGGATGTTGCGATGCATTTGGATATATCCTAGGTTAGAAAAAATAAATAAAGCCACATCAAAATGATGATATTATGGGGAGATGCATTTGGATATATCCTAGGTTAGAAAAATAAAGCCACATCAAAATGATGATATTATGGGGATAAATGGCGAAGCTAATGAAAGAATGAGCATGAATTTAAGTCCATGGTCATGTATGTTGGTGCTTGAGCTATAAGCAGAAATAATTGTCAATATAAATTTTCACACCAATATTTAGATGAAATGCTTGTCGTGATGTTTGGTTTAGTATCATCACATTTGAATGTGGTAAGGGAATGAATGAAAATTTTCTCTCAATATCAATGATGGATAATATGAGTGATTGATTGTACTTTTTGGGTTGATAAATTTGCCCAATATTGTCTTGTTTACCTTGGATCACACCCTTCAACCTTTCATAGCTAAAATTTGTAATGCCTATTTTAATATTATATTGATTTATAGCTTTTCTTGAGAATATTATCTTGTTCATATCAAAAGGTTCCTTCCAGTTTTGTGCAAGGAGAAACTTTAGTTTAACATGAAGAAATGTACATTTGTAACTTTTGCGATCTCTAAAGATTTATCATCTCGAGTATGAATTTTGATAATATTGTAAAATTTAAGGCAATTAGAGAATGGCCTAAGTCTGCAAATATACATTTAACTAGAAGTTTCTATGATTAGTTATTTTTTATAGAAGATTCATTACAATTTTTAGCAATATTACTAGTTGGTTATTTTTTACATCATATTTTGGAATTATTTTTTTCTTAAACTGAAGCTTGTAGGTTGTTGTAATTAAAAGATGACGTAATAGCTCCAATTATTTATGTTTTCATTACATTATTGTTTTCAATGATGTTTTTTGAAAGCTTATTAAGAAATCAAGGCCATTTGACTTAAACAAAAATGCACTTATTTGGTTTGGTGGACATGAAGCGGTTGCAATATTTTGAAGAGTCTCATACTTTTGAATGGGGAAAAGTTTATCCAAAAAAAAGGAAAATTAGAGGCCCTTTTATTGGTTATGTTCTATTAATTGCGATCACCTAAAAACATGAATACCATCTTAATAAACAATAATGCATCTTAATTTGTAGGAATTTTGAATGATATATCTCTTGAGATTATCAATATATTGATTATGCTATAACTTCTAACTACTAATAAAAGGTTGACACATATCTTAAGATTAATAATTAGCTATAGGACTCTTTTGGGTTATTAATCATTCTTGTTGTCTATATCTCATGAATTCACTTTCAAGATTGTTTTGATGTTAAAATATAGGAAAATATTTTAGTCATCATGTTTAATTTATTTCCATTTTATAGTTTTGTTTATCGTTTAATAATCAAATTTTCCTTATAAATGGCTTACAGTAGAAACCCATCTTATATATATATATATATATATATTAACCTTCATAATGTGTGTGTATGTGTGTGTGTATTATTAGATGCTTACATACTCATATGATTTATTATTGATAATTCTTTCTTTAACTAAATTTCAATGAAAGATTTATCAAATTATTTTCATAGAAATTTAGCTTTAGTTTAATAGAAGATGATCGTCTCGAAGGCATTCAAAATTGTACCAATGAAGCAAAGAAGATGAAAGATGGTTGAAAGTTGCATATGATTCATAAAAAGCTAATTATTGTGCAAGTAATTATACGCTCGACCATTCATAATGAAGTTATTTGAGATAATATCTTTTCTAACTCAAATGCTTGTTACTATCCAAGTTCCTACTACAAAGTTTAAATTGGTGTAATTTTTCAGTATTTTACTACCTCAGTTGATTGCACTTTATAATGTCATACAGTTGGCTTGTACCACATACATTTGAATAGGCTTGAATAGAGTACAAGATCTCTTTCGTAGTTCTTAAAAACATACATGTTTCACTAATTAAGGGATTCAACAAGTCTTGTATCCATGACATGAATCAACTTCATCCAATACTTCAAACATTGACTCGTCTTTTTTTGGTTTATAATGAGAATAATTGAGTCTCCCTTTTTTTCTTTAGACATGTTTTGATATATTGTGAAAAATTGATCTAGTTTTTCTCATTTAACATGCTTGTCGCATGGAATTTGGGCCGGTTGCGTATTCATCAGTTTGAATTGACTTTTGCATATGGATTAGTTATTTGCAGTTTCCAAAGTATACACAATATTTCATGTTGGTGAAATGAGTATGATTTTAAGAGTGAAAATGATAGAGTTACTTGCAATGCAGGCGCTCTCAATAAAGATGCAATGACAAAGACTTTATTTTAGTTGCTGCATATGAAACACGGTGATAATAGAGAGAAGAGAATAAAAGGACACAATGATGCTGAATTAGTGATGAAAGATAAAAAAAATGAAGGTTGAAAACAATATGATGATGGTGATGAAGGTCTGTTACGTGACTGTGATGATAAAGGTCACAAGAAAGCAAGAAAACTTAGAAAAGAACTTAGGACTATGATACCATTATGGGAAGATACAGAAATGGTATACGACAATGTTAACATTTTTCTAGGAGGAAGTAATATGAAATTAATCTGACCAAATAATGTAAAAATGCCTAATACTATTAATTCAATGCTAACTTTCCTTACTAATCATACACATGATTTATTTTCGAAGGATGTAATAATTTAACTTTGTCTTTGCTTGATTTCAAGTTTAGTGAAACCTTGATGGCTTGGTATAGGAGAACTTCTTGCAATTTATTGGTTACCTTTTTAATCATGTTTATTCCCTCCTACTCTAGCCCTTGACCAATTCCTCTCCCATCAACCCTAGCCGGCTTCCCCCTCTCTATGCACGCTCCACCCTAAACATCTCCCATAGCTTTTGACCACCTTATTCTTACACAAAACACTAAAGGAGGATCTCTCGGGGTTTTCTTCCTTCAAAATCCTAAACCTTACACATTCACCCCTAAGGCTTCATGAACCCTATTATGCTCTCGCCCCGTCTTGTCTTTTGGGTATCAATTGCAGCTTTTCCGCTTGCTAGGAAAATTATTCACACAACCTGTAACCCTCGGCTTCCTTCCAATCTACCTTATACATGAACCAACACCAAAGTTCTCAGTGATGTTTTCACCCACACCAACGCAAGAAACTTTTACCTTCTTCCTCCATGATTCTCCTACCATCACGACTTACTTCCTTCCAATCTACCATATACATGAACCCACACCGAAGTTCTCACTGATGTTTTCACCCACACCAATGCGAGAAACTTTTGCCTTCTTCCTCCATGATTCTCCTACCATCACGACTTCACGTCATGAGTAAGTATAGAAGCTACCTTCTTTTGTGTGTAATTAGAAATTTAAGAATGACTTGGCATGTTGATACTGATAGATTTTCTTGTACTGACCAGTTTGAGAAGGCTGGTTAGGGCCTTTACATCGGCTTCGAGGGATTCAGACTTCAATTCCCCGACGGGAATTTTAAGAATGATCCGAGAAAGTCGAAGCTCTCTCTTCCTCTTGCCCAGTCTTTGCTGCAAAAACCCATTCCAAAGTTTTGAGAGTTTTTCTTCATTTCAGGTTTCTTTCTTTTCTTACTCTCCTCAAAAAAAGAGGCTTCCTTGGCCGTGTGGAACATGGACATGAATAAATGATAAAGGTATATATGTGGCTAGGGTTGAGCATTTGATCGGTTTTCAAATTGATCAAATCGATTGGCACCAAAATTTGAAATTTGAAAAACCAAATCAACCAAAATTTTGATAAAACCTAGCGGATCATACTGAAATTTAATTTAGTTTAAATTGTTTGGTTATGAACAAGCCGGAACTTATTTGTTAGTTGGAGTTGAATTATAAACAAACATCAAGAATTACATATATTACATGGATAATATCAATTTAATTTCATAAATCCTTCATTTAATTTAAAATTTTTGGTTTTTTTGTTTTGTTTGTTTAAATGAAAATTATAACCAAACTAATAACCTAGAATCTAATATTGAGGTTTTAAAAACCAAATATTGAAATGCATTTTTGAAAACTAACCGAATCTACAATACTTGTTTGGTTCTGTTTGGTTTTTCAATTTTGACCAAATAATGCACACCCCTATATGTGACTAGATGCATATGATACTTTCTGGATGGATTTCTTTGCTCTCACTGTCCTGTTTCTTGTTAAGTCTTCGTTACAGCTTTAGTCTAAAAGCTCAAACATAATTAAGGATTTACAATTAGCTCTAATTCCTTAGGCAGCGCATCATTTAGTTATCTTTTTTTCCGTAGAATCCATATTCATTCTGGTTAGTAATCCATGCTGTTAATGATGTGTTATTTTTTATAAATAGTGCAGAGATCCGAGTATTATTTTGAGTATTACTTTGTTTTGTGCTTTTCAGGTCATTGTTTGAGCATAAAAGGTAATCCGAGTATTGAACGATCATTATCCTGGTCATATATCAGAAAGACCCATCGAAGTAGATCTCTTCAACTATATGGTCTATTTGGTGGAAAAAAAGATAAGAGTGAAAATTCTGATGATGCACCATCGAAGGTAAGAATAAACGTTTTCCTTGTTATACATATGCTTGGTTTTACTTCTTAGAATTTTAATGTTTTGCTAAATTTGCTTATTTAAATGCTATAAAACATTCTATTTAGAACCTAAATCTTTCTGTACCTTACTGCAGCTTGTAGAACTTTACATGTACTATATAGAATTTCCTTTTAGAAAAGATATTATCATTATGCTGCTATGTTTATGACTGCTACAATCTGATGCAGCTTTTGTAAATAAGATTAAGTTAAAGAGATTGGTCTGCTGACCAATGGCCACTTTGTTGCTATTTGGTGCAATTAGCAAGGCTTGTCTATCTTGTAAATTGGTGAGATTCCGCTTGTATAGGTGAAATTTGTTGAGATTGAGAAAAGTGTCAAAATGGGCCCTGACTCTTTGTAGGAGGCCATTTTAGTCCCACATTATAAAAGTAACAATTTAATCCCTGACTCTTTGTAGGAGGGCATTTTAGTCCCACATTATAAAAGTAACAATTTAATCTTCATATCCTTTTTGGTGGGGCAAAAAGGTCTTCTATGGGGACTATTTCAGCTCATATTAAAAGCATTTAAGAACTAATTTAGCACTTTTATAGACTATGGGATTAAATGGATCCATGTAAACATTCAGGGGACTATTTCAGCACTTTTTTGAGACTTGTGAAAATATTTTGTGGAATTACGCTCATTATTATTTACTTTAATTTTATTTAGTACTTGCTATATTTAGTCATAATATAAAAATGGTAATTCCTTAATTATAGGTATTTATATTTATTCTATAATTATAGGAATTACTTAATTGTAGGAAGATTTCTTTCCTCCTTTTTTATCGCTTGTACTCGCCTTTTTATAGGTGAATTATCCATGTATTAAGTGAGAAAAAGTATTGTTCAAAACTCACATGGTATCAGAGCCATCAAAGGGAAGTCTCTCCCGCTCGGCTCGATCACGGCCCTTCTCTCTCTTCTCTCCCGCGATCGTTCTTGACCGAGAGCTGCCCTAGTTTGCGCCTGCCCCAATCGTCCGCACGCATCCGAGCGCCGCTCCTCGTTCGATCGTCTGATCGATCGTGCTTCTCCGCGATCGTTCGCACTTCTCCCGCAATCTCCCGCATCGTGCGCTTCTCCAATCTGTTCATTGCAAGGGATTTGGGATTCCAATCAGCTCATTGCATCCGTGATCTCCCGCATCGTGCGCTTTTCCCGCGATCTCCCGCATCGTGCAATCTCCCGCATCTTGCTCTTACGTGATCGTCATCCGCAATCCCGCGATCTCTCGCGATTGCGATCGTCTGCGTCCGATCGGTAACGCCAACCCTTCTTCCGCGACCGAGCACAGTCAGTTCCAGCCGTGCTCAATGACTAAGTACGACCATGCCTGCAACTCCTCAACTAGTGATGTCACTTCTAGCCACCCCTCCCGGCTGGGTCTCCATTGCCCAACAATTCAGACAATAATTCTGTCCTCATCACCAGCCTCAAACTCACTAACCATAATTACTTCCAATGGTCGCAGTCAGTCATGATGTTTGTATGCGACAAAGACAAAAATGACTACCTCACTGGTGATGCTCCAGCTCCGATGACGACAGATCCGTCATACAAGACTTCGAAATCCGAGAATAATATGGTTATGGTCTGACTTGTTAACTCGATAGCACTTGATAAGGACGAAAATTTTCTTCACTATGGCACAGCTAAGGAAATCTGGGATGCTGCCCATGAGACTTTTTCTAGTGCAGACAATACAAGGGAACTATTTGCTGTTGAGACCATCTTTCATGACTTTCGTCAAGGTGATCTCTCCGTCACCCAATACTTCAATACTTTTACTCGGTATTGGCAACAACTAGATCTATTCGAGGTGTACCCTTGGAAGTGTCATGAAGACTCTGTCATATTTCGCCAAATCATAGAACATAAACGCACCTTCAAATTCCTTCTTGGCCTCAAATCTGAGTTTGACCAGACTCGCTCACGAATTTTGAATTCGAAACCTCTTCCAACAATTCGTGAAGCTTTCTCCGATATACGCCACGAAGAGAGTCGCCAAAAGGTCATGTCAGGTGCTTCCTTGTCCACTAAAACCCTCGACGGGTCTGCACTTGCTGCTCATATTCCATCCACAGACAACCGCCAACGCCAGGGCCGCCCCTGGTGGGACCACTGCCGCCCC